TGGCAACCCCAAGCTCAAAAACGGATTCACAAGATCAAGGTCTATCCTTTGGACCTAAAGAGGTCCAAAACTCCTATAACCCTAGATCTAGAATATGAGGAAGAAAGTTAAGTGCTTTATACCTTCTTTTATGATAAAAGGGTGAGCTTAGTCCAGATCCTTGAGCTCAAGCTTCTTCTCCAACCTTTCCTTTCCTTCTTCACAACTTTCCTTCACTAAAAGCACTCACAAAAGCGACTTCACACAATGAAAAGGGGTAAGAACGAGTTAGGGTTTTCTTGTGGGTGAGGAGGCTGATAAGAAACCAGGGGGGAGGCTATAATGAGGTTTATATAGCTCTTAAACCCTGAAATTAGGGTTTAGTGTCTGATCGCGTACGCTGGGCGTACCTTATGGTACGCTGCGCGTACGCCTCTCATGTCCCGCGCATCCAATGACACTACGCCCCGCGTACGCCGGGAAACGCCCCGCGTACGACTTATGGGCAGCCTACATCTCGGCCCAAGAGTGTTAAGGTCCAATCCAAAGTGTCAAGTCCAACCATAGTCCAATATCTTTTAAGTTGCATAATTAATTAATTAATTCATACCTCGAGAGATGGATGTTACAACGCGTATGCTGCGTGGCGCAACACTTGATTTGCCTCTTCAAACCTCTTCAGCTTTCATTTTTTTGAAGTGTTTTTTTTAGAATTTTGGTATAACTTATTTTTTTTAACTTATTTTTTTTTAACTTTCATTTACGGATTTGATACAATTTCTTATTATAGTTTCCACAAATTTTTTTAACTTGATTTTTTTTAAAAAAAACTTTGATTTTTTTAATTTTTTTACCGTTTCTGTTAATAATATTTTCAGTTTCAGTTTCATCTTCTTTTAACGTGTGTAATTTTTTACGAACTTTGTAGACAACGTTTGCAATACTTTATTAAAATTTTTTTTTATGTTTTTTAAAATTAGTTTTTTTTCTAGAATAAAGCTGTTAGCTTCTTTTATATTTTTGTAAATTTTTTTTAAAAAAAATTATATATATATTTTTTTACATGCTCTTTTTAGTACTCTTTCAATGTTTTAAGACTAGAATTATTAAAATTTCGGTATTGAGAATTATTTTCAGTTTATAAAATTCGTTTATTTAAATTTCAGTTTACTGCAGCAGTCTGCAGATGTTAAAAAACAAACATGCTTCTTATTATGGGTTGCAGTCGTTTGTTCCACCTCTTCTGCTTAAGAGGATTGCAGATGTGGTCCGCAGACTTCATGAATTTTCGATTCGAAAAAACAAACATCACCTATCTATCAGTTTGCACTTAAATTGACTTTTATGCCCTTATGATTTCTTTTTTCCTATCTATCAGTTGCTTAAAAGTGGGAAAAATTACTTCAATCGAATTCCAGTATCTTCACCATGCACCTAATGTTGAAAAATCAAACTAATAGACACGCAAGGAAACCGACAAATAATATTGAGAATTATATGTCGATTAGTTGCGAATAATAGATACAATAATTATTATTATATTTACCAAGTTTCGTACAAAACCAGATCAATCCTTCACGATTAGATCTGATTATAAGAAAGGAAGAAGAAGACTGTCCTGTTGTTGGACGAAGTTAAATGCAAGACAGAAAGTAAAACCGACCTGTTGATGGCTGATCTTGAACTTCAAATAACTGCACGGATCGGACTCCTGTCCTTAAAGGTTTTTACTTCGCTTCTAATGGCTGTAAGCAACAGAGTAAAACCCCATGATTTAATGTAGATCTATCGATCTTCTAACAACACTGGAAATCGATAAACACAAAGCGAATACTCGGAAACGAAAGAAAAAAATGCAGAGAGTGGGAGAGAGCTCTAAATTTCGTGAGAGTGTCAAATGGCTCCTAGGGAGCAATATTTATAGGTATCGAAACCCTGGAAGGCATGAAACGGGCCCCCATAGGCCGGACCCAGAAACCCTAGGGCGACGACTTACTGTCCAAGCAAGCCGTTTCCTGACCCGAACTTGTCAAAAATAAAAGCTCCTCAGCTCCCAACGATGCACACTCGCGGCGTCGGCTAGTGCTAGGCTAGGTGCGCGTGTGGGCTTGGCTCATTCCTTTGATCCACTAAAGCCTTTAAAGGCCTATCAAGGGAATAGGCTTATAAACCCACAAAATTTTCTTCCCCCACCAATGTGGGATACAAAGGAAATTGCCAACTTGCAATTCCTT